CGGACTGTGTGCATTCGTGGTGTACTGCTATCTCACGAGTGTTTACGCATTTGAATTATGTGTTTTCATATTGCTTAACCAATCATCATGTTTTAATATCTCGTAATGTCGTTTTTTTTTAATTCGCACGCAACAGAGTTTCCTTTTTTTCGTAAATGTTGAAGTCCACTCCTTCTATTCTATCTTCTATTTTGCAAATTAACGCAGAATGATTATAATTACGCTTCAACTCTCGAGTAATTAGTTTTTTTTTACATTAATGAAGGGAATTTATATCGCGTTCCACATTTTTGTGACGTCGTAGGAAAATAATTGGATGGAATTTGGATGCGGCAGGAGGGGAACCCGGATTATTCTCAATATGAATAACTAGAAAATTTTTACTGAAAAAAATGAATAGTCCAGACCGGGATTTGAACCCGGGACCTTCCGATTATGCATCGGACGCTCTCTGATTTTTTCATTTCAAATTCCCAGGAATTTCCCAGGAAAGAAAAATATTTTTCCGTACTGATCTCCACTTTTCCTCGTCCGGGGACTGGTACTGACCCTTCCCAGACATCGGCATAATCGAAATTTTGAATTACAGTTAAATTTGGATTGAGTCAATTGTGAATATAACTCACCATTTTTTTTATTTTAGAAATAACCATCAATTTAAATTTCAAATTCCGAATTATTATATCACCCAACAATTGACAACCTAAATTACCAATTATTACATTAATTTTCAAATTTCAATTACGATAAATAAATCTAAATTACTATAAAGTGCAACTTCCCATAGTATTACTAAAAGTAATGATTGATGCCGAACTATGACCCTTCCCCAAACTTGTAAAGCTAAAAATCACAACGGAAAAATATCGTTCGCGCCTAGCGTCATGGGGTTTTTCTACTCGCGTGGTTGGCCAGTCCTCGCCTTCGGTCGAACGCCAACTCCACGCGCGTAAAAACCCCACGGCATTCGCCCTGAAATATACTATTCTGGTGAACAATTCATAAATTTCAGTAGCGAACTGATAAAACGGTTCAAGTCTCCTGATCTCTCAGTTGAGTTTTTGAGAAATATCTCCGAATCTAAGGGAGATAGCGTGATTTCCGTAATTACATTTGTTGTAGCTCCCAATCGGCTCTACAAAAAAGGTTATTACGACAATTTCACTATCTCTCTTAGATTCCGAGATATTCATTGAAAACTAGTCAATAGTGAAAATTGACTTTTACCACTTCGCTACTGATTTGATTCGGGCAAGTCAAGTCTCTCTGTGGAATTATACTTATCGGGCGCACCATCTCATTATTATCCTCTTTCGATATGAATACAAAAATAAACCACAGGATTTGGATACACGCGGAGCGCAAGAAAACATAAAAAACGAGAATACTCGCAGAAAGAGGAGTCCACGCATGTTAAAGTCCACAATATCGCGAGTCAATGAGGCACACTTTAGAAATACTTACTCACCGTGAGGGACTCCAGGAGGGCGCAATGGCGTAGGTATTCAAAGAACAACAAAAAAAAAGGAAAGAAAATTATAAGAAGAACGGAGAACACCAAAGGGACATGTATCTCGCATACCCCCGCCCCGCGTGAACTGGTTTTCGAGTCTCTCCCACCGGAACGTATATACCTTTTGCCTTTTACGTTTTCTGGTTTTTTGTGTGTGTCTACTAAAACTGGCGGGAGAGAACAAGGTATGGGTATCCCTTAATGGACGTCAAGGCAGGCCATTGGCGCCGCGTGAAACGAGTTTTTTTATTTAATCTATCTCTATTGGAATTCAATTGTCCAATTTCAGAGCCATCGGGCTTATTAAATTTTAACTTGCTCGTTGGTGAACGATAGGGGTATCTCCAGCATGTAATTTCCAACAATTTTTACATTTTCGTACATTTAAATCACTGTAAAATAGTTCCGCATCCAGAAATTAGAAGAATTAGCCGAATTAACGCACGACAATTTTTCGCGCCATTCTAAACAATTTTGGAGGACAAGGGGCCATTCAATTGAATTATTCCCCCTATTTGAATTTCAACAGACACTAATGCAGCACTTGATGGTTTTGCCACATTCGTTATCAGAACTCTCTTTATTTTAACAGAAAATTTTTAATTGGAAATAACCAAAAGTTATCGAAATAATTTGACTCCCCCTCCACCGCAAAACGTCAATACATTTCCATAGTTTGACATTCAGATGGGGGAACAATGAATAGTATTTTCGAGCACCACACTGTTGATCGACAATTAGTAAATCAAATAATTATTTTCTCATCAGAATGAAAAAATTCGTCATCATCCTCATCGATAAAAAATAAGAGACAACTATGAAAAACAATAAAATAATTCTACGTAATTCTACGCGTCAATCTTCCTCAAAAATCCGATTCTCATCGCACTTGTAAACTAACTACTCTAAAACCTAATACCTATTAAAAATTCAAAATTCCATGAAAAAAGGAATAAAAGAGGGAGCAAAAAAGACGTAAAAGCGTAGGAAGCTACGATCGATGAAACTGAGTCTGTGTGGGTTAGGCGATTCTGTGTGTGCGTGAACTTTATTGCAGCTCGTCCCGGTGAGTACCAAGGCCAGGCGCACAAAGTTTTACGTGTTGTGTGCCTCCATTGTGTATGTCTGAGTGTCGGGGTCGAATAAATTTCGAAATTGAAATCCTTTCACGTGTCAATGGAGGGAAATAAAAAAAACCGGAGAAAACAACAATCTGTGCTTTTATTTTCACGGAGATAAATTGAAATAATTGAAGGCAGATGATTTTTACTGCACTCTTTTGGAATTCAATTGAAAAAAAAAAATTTGCAAAAATTGAAAAAGTGAAAAATTAAAAAATTAAAAAATTGAAAAATTGAAAAAAAAGTAGAAACGGAAAAGGAAAGAGCTTGAAAAGTCTGAACATGTTCGATGTTGAGCATGTCCACGAGGAATTACAATAAAGAGGATCGGTTTATTAGGCTAAACGCTCGGGACTCGGTTCAAAGGCTGTGCACACGCACACCACGATAAGACTGCAAGTTGCATCGGCATCCCTTGTGTGTATTAGAATTATCCGGTTCTATTGCGGTTGGGCCGAGTCAACCTGGTGATGCACAGCGGTTCTAGCTAATGGTTGAGGCATGTCTCCGTCTCATAATACTCGATAACTGAATTCCCATGGCAATTTGTCAATCAGAACGATTTGCACAGACTCCGATACTCGCAGTTTCGGCGAATCTGTTGGGCAATTCGTACGCATCGCATTCATAAACCCTCCGTGCTGCTTTTATTTTCGCAATTCACTTGGTTTACGTTAATGCAGAGGCATGAAGAAAAAAAACCCGCAAATTTAATTACACGGAGAGACATATTCAGTAAAAATTACGGAACAATTCACGTAATCTGCGGCGGGGAATCGTTTTTCCGTAATTTTTAAGGAAATGGAAGAGAAAAAATCTGAAACGTTCAGGGAATTTTCGGGTTCGTCACGTAATTTTTCCCGAAGAAGTAAAATCTCACAGAAATTTGCCGACTTATTGTGCCTCAAAAATAAAAAATTCTTGAACGTTCAACAATTTTTATGAAGCTGCACTCACTTTTTCGACTCACTTTTTATTGAATTCAGTAGCAAATGGTAAAGCGGTTCAAGTCGACTAATCTCCCAATGCGGTTTTTCCGGAATATTTCCGAATCTAAGGGAGACAGCAAAATTTTCATAATTACATTTCTTGCAGCACTCAATCGGCTCTACAAAAAAGGTTATCCCACCAATGTCACTATCTCCCTCAGATTCCTAGATATTCACTGAAAACCGGTCAATGAATTTGACTTCGCTCGCGGATTGCGTTTCGAAACGAAATTTCCCCGTTTTCCTCTGGCAATTGTTATTGAATTTTGGTCCCCGAGTAGGCGCACTCTATCAGACCCAAAGTAGAAGAGAATAATGATAATTTATAATGTAAGTTGAATCATGATAAAGCCACCGTCGCCGTTGTAATTCCTTTTGGGAAAATCGGAATGAGATTATACGTAGCGATAAATTCGAGTTTACGTTAGAAAACGAACATGACCTCTTCCACACACCTATACATATACATAATACATATCTGGTGGAGGATTGGGGTGAGGTATGGAGGCTGTACCGAGGGGGTTGAGGGACTGAGGCCTGAAGAGGGTGGTTTTGGCAATGGGTGGGTCTTTTCATGTACATGTATTATATACATTGGTTGGAAAGAATGAACGGTATGGAGGGTAGGTGAAACGATCGCTCGGTGGATGAGGAGAATGGAGATGGAAGAGGGCGGATGTGTATGGGTAAACCGGCGAGTCGGTGTTATTGGTTTTTGTCGCGCATGCCCACCAGTGGCGCCAATCTGGCGAATTATTAGACAACTTTAACTCCCTCTTTTCAGCCTCCAATATACATACACCACATATATTCAACAAATTACGTAAAATATGGAAATTTCACTATTCCATCCGCCACTGGATTATTTATTGAGAATTATTTATTGAGAACTGTCGGAGCTGTTGAGATTCTCACGCAATTGACCCCATTGACGACCGAATCATTACTTTCAATTGTTTGCTAAGAATAGCAATAAATATGGGATATGAGCGAAAAAAAAACAATTTTTCCATTTTTACATCATTGCATTCACTTACGAGAATTGACTCATGAATTCATTACAAGGTGCATTCACTCGTAATGACGTTGAAATAGGGGAGAGTCGGACAAAATGGAACGTTTCGTTATTTTCTATAATTGTCAATATCTGCATTTCATTTATAAATTTATATTTATTAATATAAATAATTAATAATATAAATAATATAAATAATTTATAATACGTAATTTATAATTTATATTTATAAATGAAATCAAGAAATGAACAATTGGAAGATCTCAACGTCTCATTTTTCACGAATATCTCATTTGCAGCCGTTTGATTTATTAAACTCAAGTTGTTCTGGGTGAAAGTTGAAGGTCAGAGAATTGACTTACCTCGCCGTGAGTATCACGTCGTCCATCCGGAGTATTTTCAGGCAGGAAGTAGAGCCTCAACGATGCTAATGGCTGATTTGAGCCCCTGCTATCTATCCAGAGCAGCTGTAATTCACCGATACTAACTAAATCGGCATCGGTCCATAATTTTGTTAGAAAGAAACTACCGAGACGCAGAACACGTCCATTGCCGATTCTCACGGCTTTGTAAAATGTGTATGGGCCATGACTGAAGCAGGCACCGCCCAGTAACTGAAAAATAAATAAATTCAATTAGTCCAATTTTTCGAAATATTCATCGCCGTTATTTTCACTCTTAAACAATTATAAAATTCATAAATAGTGATTTCTCTCCTTCTGAATGGCGAACATCGATTTATTCGATCAATTGAATTTGCTAACCTCCATCGCCAATGCGGAGGCACCAATGACGAAAAATAAAGAGGATTGAAATTAAATTTCACATGACAGCTCCCCAAATTGCCACGAAATATCGAGAGAATTCCATTGGATTCAAATTGGATAAGCAAAAGTGGAATTTGCGTATGGAGGGGAAGGGGCAGAGTGCATTGCATGCAAGGAGTGGGTGAGCGTCACAGACACAGCGATGATAGAGGTACGGGGATGGAGGAGGGCGTGCAGCGCGCGTGGAAAACCCGAGGGTGAGGCCTGGGTATTTGCGGGATGACCCAGGCTCTCCTCCTGTCTCTCTCGCTCTCTCCCCCTCTCTCTCTCTTTCCACTGAAGTGGGTAGGTGAGGGACCGGGGGTGAGGAAGGGAGAAAACCGTTAGCTATTTTATTAAGGTGAATATTGATATCAGTTGGAATTTATTAAATTCCAGGATTTTGAATATATTTTCCTCAATCAATCGCGATAATGATGAGCACAATAGACATCCCTCAGTCAATAATGATTGAAAAAAAATTATTCATTTCAGTAGCGAAGTGGTAAAACGGTCCAAGTCGATTTTGACTATTGGCCATTTTTCAGTGAATATCTCGGAATCTAAGGGAGAAGGCGAAAATTTTGTAATTACATTTGTTGTAGCTCTCAATCGGCTCTACAAAAAAGGTTATGACAAGAAATTTGCTATCTCTTTTAGATTCCGAGATATGCATTGAAAACTGGTCAATAGTCAGAATTGATTTGCACCGTTGTACCGCTTTGCTACCGATTTCAATATTTATTTATTTGTTAATGCCAAGTATGGCCTACTCGGCCTTTTACATTATTTTGGATGAATTTCACAGTTGTCTAGTAAAAAATTAGCATATAATGTAGAAACAACAACCGTTAAACGATTTAAGTAATAATAATAATTATTATAGAGAATTCTCTGAAATAGGCACACTGCGTCCTGAACTATGTTATGGCTTAGGATGCTACTGATTTCAATAATGTAAAAATTAATTTCACTAATTCCATTAATTCGTTAATCATCATTAATCATTTCATTAATTTATTTAATTAATTTCATTAATTTCATGAGCGTGTACAGCTTTATGATCCTGAATTCAGTAATTTGTGTTTATTCACACATATAATATGAATACCCATGGATAAATATCATTTGACCTCTTTTTCTCGGGGACTGTACGCGTCTCTCTGCTTCGCAGGCAACTTTATCCCCTCTCCTTTACGCCCCCCTTCCCCTCCTATTCCGACACCGAATTTTGTGCTCCTCTTTTTTTTCTCCAGCACACTCATTCCTTTTATTGGCCAGCTATTTGAAATTCAACGGATTTCCAAGCACGCGGGAAAGAGGGAGTTGAAAAAAATGCGCATTTTTTTTGTCCACGGTCATCGCGAAAATTTCCGAGTTATGTCGCACTTGCTCGAAAAATACAGCAATTCCCGATAATTTTGAGTCCCCACTAGATTTCCTCATTATTAGAAAAAATTTTCCACAATTCATCAAGCTATCGAGGTATACGCTGGATAAAAATAATTATAAAGGCGATCGTGTGAATTGCGAAATCATTTAAGAATTTAATCAATAAATCGGTAATTAATTCGGAAGGGAGAATGAGAACCCCTGCCATAACTATTCCCAATGTTTTAGAGGTACAGTCAGTGCAAAAAAAATCCCCTTTATTTATTTTCTTATCTCCACTAACTCCGATCGTTACGTCGTTGGGTACAGGCATGTTTTTGGGCGTTCCTGTGTGTTGGTGAGTGGAGGTGTATTTATAGAGTTAATCGGGTTTCGCGGCAGCTGCACTCTCTGCACCCTCCACCATTGATAGCCTAAATGCTTCAATAATTTCTATTTACCTGATTTTGTCATTTCCCCCAAATGACTCATCGGAAGATTCAAAAAAAAGTTGACAATAATATTAATAGTCCATTATTTCCGTGCGAGTTTTTGCCTCTGAGGCAAATCATTTACAATTAATCACAGTCTCCATCGAGTAGGAAGTGATTTGATGACTGTCATTATTACCTTTTTGTATGGCTTATTTTATTTTTTTCTGCAGCCAAGAACTAACCGTATCAAGTGTATACTCATTTTCTGATGAATCATTCGACGGAACGTGCGCAAGCACAGTGGCGTATGCATTATAAATTTCCAAAATGGCCACAAAATTATTGCAACATAATGAAGGGGAAAAACATTTCCCTCTTCCCGAGATATTTCCCTCTTCGCCGGAGCACAATTTGAGAGATGAATAAATAAATTGGAAAATTCATTCTTTCAACAGTATTTTCAGTATCAATAGAGACCATGTTTGCATAATGGGGATTTATCGATTTACGGTAATTTCCCGTGGTCGTTAGGCTTCATTAAAATCTCCTCAGTGGAGATATTCAATTTATGAATTCAAATAACCGTAAAAGTCATAATTTTCCGAAAATATTCATCATCCAAATTCCCTCTAATCTCAATTACATCGATTTCAAAATGGAATTTTGAGTGTGACCGAGGATTTGAATTTAACAGCAACAATCTAACGAGCAAAAAAAATAAACTCCAAGTGGACAGAATTATATATGGGGCAATGGCCCCTCTCTCTGCCGCTTCAACTGTGACTGTCGTCCGTAATCGCGTATATACACTAAAGCTGTCTGTCTCTCTTTCTTTTCCTCCCTTCTCTCTCGCCCTCGCGACGTCACGTAGTACAAGAGACGACCCACACTTTTTTTCTCCCTCTATCTTTACCCTTCGATAGATTTGCCCTCCTTCTTCGACTCGTGCCCATCTGTCTTTCTCCCCAATATTGTGCTGTGCCTGCCGACGAAATAGCTCGTCATCTCTGTCGCACTCGTGTGCCCCCTGAAATCATACCCGGTGTGTATAACCCCTCCTGGACTCCGAGAATCTGGAGAACAACCTCACTCGGCCTTCCACCACCATTCCAAACAATTTCCCTCCTCGCCCCACGCACTGGCGATGGCTTTTACCCTTCTCCCTCACCCACACTCGTCCCTTGGGCTATTATCGCAGAGCTCGAACTAACCACCTCAAGGCTACTTCACAACGAGGATGTCCATTGTAATATTTACGGAAAGAAGGAGAAAGATTGAATCGTCAAAGATGATGGAAACATCGATTTCATAAATTTTTCCATGATTTTTTTTATTCAAGAGGAATATGAAGAACGGAAATTTGATGAGATATATTGGATACGTAATTGTTCGTTTTGGAACAGAAAGTAATTCCGTTCATCAACGGAAGTAAAAGTAGGTGTTTAAGAATGTTTGTTCAGAGCCGCAAGTATTTTTAAAAAATGGATTTTTTTTCAAAGGAGAGCCGAAGTTATTCGCTTTATCTTGATGAAAATTTCAATGAAATTTTCAATTTCTAACCACCTCAAGACCACTTCACAACGAGGATGTCCATTGTAATATTTACGGAAAGAAGGAGAAAGATTGAATCGTCAAAGATGATGGAAACATCGATTTCATAAATTTTTCTATGATTTTTTTTATTCAAGAGGAATATGAAGAACGGAAATTTGATGAGATATATTGGATACGTAATTGTTCGTTTTGGAAAAGAAAATAATTCCGTTAATTAACGGAAGTAAAAGTAGGTGTTTAAGAATGTTTGTCCAGAGCCGCAAGTATTTTTAAAAAATTGATTTTTTTTTCAACTGAGAGCCGAAGTTATTCGCTTTATCTTGATGAAAATTTCAATCCACCTACCCACGGTTATTATTTAGAAGTGGAGTGGACGAAATGCACCAAACGCATGCGCTATCATGCGCTTTTATGGGATAGAATCTTTCAAATATTTATTAACTTTTTTTTTTTGCGCGGATACCCCTAGATTTTTTCTGGCCATTCGGTTCAGTATAGTTTTGCACATTATCTTCGATTTTTATTTCTATTTTTATAGTACTTTTATTTCTATTTTTATAGCACACTGTCTGAAAATGACTCTTGAAATTTCAAGTGAAAATGCTTGAATTTTTTAACAACGACAAAGTTACATGAAATTTCTGTAGAATTCTTCATTGATGAATCAGTTAATTTCCGGAATATTCAAGTAATTTTCGATTTTCAGGTCCCTACGGCACTGGAAGATCTGGAGAATTTTGAAAATTCAGGCAATAACTTCTCTGAATTTTTCAATCTATTGAAAATTGGATGGTATGTGATGTTCCATTTTCACGATGACTTTGGAATTATTTTTTAACATGAAAACCCCAGTTTTCTTGAATTTTCAAGATGAATGAGAAATTTAGTGAACGTTTTCATTTGAAATTGAATTCAAACCCACAACATTGAAAATTCAGATGACATTGTGACTGAAATTTGAAGAAATTTCTAACAGTGTAGATGAATTATAAATTTCAACATAAATCCCCTGAGAGCCGGTGGATAAGAACAAATTTGTTGATTTATTTCTGGCGAAACTATTGCGATTAATTTTTTGTAACATCAAAAAAGTTAATTTCATATGTTCTGCTATCACCCAAAAACATTATAGAATTTTCTTTGAGCATGAAAAAATACTATTTTTGCTGAAAATGGCTAAACATCCTTAATATTTTCACTCATGTTCATAGTCAGCGATCAAAAAATTCATGCAAAACCCCAATTGCAACTTTTTCAACATACCCACACGCTAGCCATGCGAACAAATTGTTGAATTAATTGACGGATTTCTTTATCAAAGTGTTTCAACGAACTGATGAAAGTTTGTGGATAAATAGTAAAAGTTGACTATTCAGAAACATGTAAACGGATTTCACATGCAATATTTGGAGCTATCCTCCCACTTGATCTGAGATTACATCGAGAGTA